ATTTTTTTACTGGGCAAGGTCATTTTTTACTGGGCAAGGTCATGTTTTTATTGGGCAAGGCCATTACTGGGCAAGGTCCTTTTTTTATTGGGCAAGGTCATTTTTTTACTGGGCAAGGTCATTTTTTACTGGGCAAGGTCATTACTGGGCAAGGTCCTTTTTTTATTGGGCAAACGTCATTTTTTTACTGGGCAAGGTCATTTTTTTTACTGGGCAAGGTCATTTTTTTGCTGGGCAAGGTCATTTTTTTATTGGGCAAGGTCATGTTTTTACTGGGCAAGGTCATTTTTTAACTGGGCAAGGTCATTTTTGTTACTGGGCAAGGTCGTTTTTTTACTGGGCAAGGTCATTTTTTTATTGGGCAAGGTCATGTTTTTACTGTGCAAGGTCATTTTTTTGCTGGGCAAGGTCGTTCCATAAGTGAAATATTTTCATAATGTTGTGGGACTCTTCGGGCGGGTGGGTATTTTTCTGGAGTAATTTCTTGACAAGTGAATGCTTGGACCTGAGATGCTGAACCCTAAACCCTAAACCCTAAACCCTAAACCCTAAACCCTGAACCCTAAACCCTAAACCCTAAACCCTAAACCCTAAACCCTAAACCCTAAACCCTAAACCCTAAACCCTAAACCCCAAGCCGCCTGAGGTGCCCAAGGAGGCCTTCGGCATGCATCCGGGCTGCTCCTGGGCTGTCAATGCTTCGGGCCCTTTTGGGTGGTAGGGTTTAGGGTTTAGGGTTTAGGGTTTAGGGTTTAGGGTTTAGGGTTTAGGGTTTAGGGTTTAGGGTTTAGGGTTTAGGGTTTAGGGTTTAGGGTTTAGGGTTTAGGGTTTATGTTCGGATCTGATGCGCCTCCCTGGTCCACCTGGCTAGTAACTTTGTCATAGTCGGCAAACAATTTACATATTTACGGGTACTTAAACCCAATAAGGAATAAACGAAATTGCTTTTTCATATTCTCCCAACAATGAACTAGAGTACACTCGGGGATCTTCTTGAGGTTCTGGTCAGAAGTCTGACACGCTGCCGGTTGAGGAAGCATCTCTTAGCCGGCTTCTGTACGACCTCTGGTTACCGCATGGGTGAGGTCGTCCTTGATGTGAGCGATGGCTGAGTTTCCGTAGGCTTGCAAGTTACCCTTTCCGTTCCCAAGTTTGAATCCCACTGCGGCGGGCCATCTCAGTAGCTGACTGTTTCGCCCCCCCCCCCCCCTCTAAGAGATAAAGGAATCTTCAAAACAACCCTTACCAATTGAGCCCAAATCCAGTAAACCAATAGAACCTCTCAAGAAGCCCCAGAACTCCTCAGCTCCGCCATACCCCCTATTGCGCCCTAAACCCTAAACCCTGAACCCTGAACCCTAAACCCTAAACCCTAAACCCTAAACCCTAAACCCTAAACCCCCCACCCAAGGTTCCCCACAAAATGTGCAAACATCCCCCAGGCTCCGGTCAGCCACCCAACCAGCTGAAGAGCAAGCTCGACACGGCGTCTCAGGGATGCACGTCAGGTGTTGGGGGTCTAGGGAGCCAGGGCCCCTCACACTCCTAGGGTTTAGGGTTTAGGGTTTAGGGTTTAGGGTTGAGGGTTTAGGGTTTAGGGTTTAGGGTTTAGGGTTTAGGGTTTAGGGTTTAGGGTTTAGGGTTTAGGGTTTAGGGTTTAGGGTTTAGGGTTTAGGGAGACATGTGTGTGGGGCTTTGGAGCTTGGGTTGACTCCGCAGGTTGCGCTCTCTCGCGTTTTGGGGGAACTCCAAAGTCCCGGGGAGTGTACACCTCATATGATGAGCGCTTTAGGGTTTAGGGTTTAGGGTTTAGGGTTTAGGGTTTAGGGTTTAGGGTTTAGGGTTTAGGGTTTAGGGTTTAGGGTTTTGGGCCTTAGGGGTACCTATCTGATGCAGAAGTGCAGAAGAACAAGTGGGGGGAAGATCGGTCCTCTTCCAAATGGAGCCTTAAACAATGTGTAACCTTGAATTAATCCCCAAACCTTAACTTAGACCCTGAACCTAAACCTTAAATGAAGCCCCTAAACCGTAAACCCTAAACCCTAAACCCTAAACCCTAAACCCTAAACCCTAAACCCTAAACCCTAAACCCTAAACCTTAAACGAAACCCTCGGATCACAGTTTCGATGGCCTCCCAGGTCTAGAAATTGACAGGCCCGACACCTGAAACCCGGGACCGTGGTTTAGGGTTTAGGGTTTAGGGTTTAGGGTTTAGGGTTTAGGGTTTAGGGTACACTGGGCAGCGCTGCTCCTAAACTCGTGCGAGCCACGGTCCGCAAGCTCCATGACCACCTCAAGCTCGGCTTCATCCACGTGGTGAGCTGGGAGACCGCCGCCGTCCTTAACATCGGTAAGACTCACGACGACCCGATGACCAGGGAGAACCACCTTGCAGACGGCTTCCGCTTGTACGACGCACAGGGCTCTCCATCCTAAGCTTCGAGGCTCCACCTCGACTCTCCAGCCTATGAAAAACCCAGCGGGCGCCCTGAGCGGCCCCTGAGTGGCCGAGCGGCGGCAGGCTTGTTGGTCTGGCTCCAAGTCAAGGTACTCGTCCGGTAAGTGCTTCCTCCACAAGTCGACGGGGGTCGCGAGGCCGGGCCAGGTCTGCAGCCCCGGCGCCGGCAGCGTCTCTTCAGAGACGCTGACCATTATCTTGTCGCCGCTGTCGCCTTGCAAGGTGCTGAAGGCCTTTTCCTGAGCAACGGTGACCCAAAAATCTCCAAAATTCCCAATCCCTAAACCCAAACCCAGAATGCGCTCAAGCCTCTTCCCCAAACGGCAAACCCAAGCCTGCAACATGTACACCCTAAACCCTAAACCCCAAACCCTAAACCCTAAACCCTAAACCCCAAACCTCAAACCTCAAACCCCAAACCCTAAACCCTAAACCCTAAACCCGAAACCCTACACTCGACATTTCGAAGCCCAGAGCACAATGCCTCACTATCCTAGAATGCCCGAGATCCCTGGATCCTAAACCCTAAGCCCCTACAGCCCTCGCCCTAAACCCTTAACCCTAAACCCTTCTGCAAACCCTAAACCCTAAACCCTAAACCCTAAACCCTAAACCCTAAACCCTAAACCCTAAACCCCAAACGGACCCTAGTCTGCAAGCAGCCCAGGCTCTCTTTCATGGCTGACACCGGGAAGGCCCGTGCCCCGAAGATAAACCCTAAACCCCTCAGCCCTGAAGGGTTTAGGGTTTAGGGTTTAGGGTTTAGGGTTTAGGGTTTAGGGTTCTAGGGTTCTAGGGTTAAAAAGGTTTAGGGTCAAGGGTTTAGGGTTTGGGGTTTAGGGTTTTGGGTCCCCAAAGCCTGAACCGATCCTACACCCATTCTTTGTTTCGCGGCTTGAACATCCAGGCCTTGCGTAACCTAAACCCTAAACCCTAAACCCTAAGCAACACTTGAACAAGTCCGAAGAAGTTAGGTCTTTGAGAGTATCATTGGTTAGTTCGTAGTAAGTTGGGATGTGTCCCTATAATTAATTCCTGACTTATAATAAGGGGTACTAGAATCCCTATTCAGGACTGTTAGTAGAAGGGGGAACATCCCAAGTAGTAAGGGTTGTTAGGGGTGTAAGGGTTGTTTGGGGGCTTACTTGGCCAACAGATGAACTTTAAGCTTCTTGGGCTTTGTTTTGCGGTTCCGATAATTTCCTTGTGACAACACCTCCTTTCCTGGAAACTGTGCACCGTGCAAATGCCGTCCTGTTTGGGTTTTCTACACCAAAACCGAAATAACCCCCTACGAACCCCTATTAACCCCGATTGATCCCCCATAAAACCCCTATAAACCCCAAATGACGCAGACCTGCGAGGTACCCCTAAACCCCTAATGATAAACCCTCATAAACCCCCGTAAACCCCTAAACAACCCTACAATGAAGCCGACTGCGAGGTGCTCTTCCCCAGCTTTTGTGCCACGGAGGCGTGGCAGAACAAGTGCCGGCCTTGGCGCACCTAACATTCGAGGGGTTTGGGGTTTGGGGTTTGGGGTTTGGGGTTTGGGGTTTAGGGCTCGGGGTTTAGGGTTTAGGGTTTGGGGTTTAGGAAGGGGGGTATGGCGAGGGGGAGGGGGGTGGCGTGTGACCGTCGCGCTGTGGATGGTTCAGATCATGATTCTCAGGATTTAAGAGCCCAAGCCCGGAAGAGAAGGTTCAAAACCCATGCATCGCAGAAAGGATTCCTGAAGGCTAGGAAGTCCGGAGGCCCCCCAGGGCTCGCAGCTAACTCAGCTCACAGTGGGGTTAAGGGTTTAGGGTTTAGGGGTTTAGCGGCTTTAGGGGCTTTAGGGAGTTTAGGGGGTTTAGGGTGTTTAGGGTTTAGGGGGCCCAAGGTTTAGGGTTTAGGGTGGTGGGGGTTATGCATGCTGACTTGCATTTGCACGGCTGGGTGCCATGGTCTAGCATCCCCCCCATTTCACTTACCAAGCGGTGCAGCATCCCCCTCGCAGAAACAGCTCATTCTTAGGGATTAACAAAGCGGAAGGCTGGACATGCCATTCTATAGGTGAATTGCACATGACATTCCCTTATGGTCCCTTTGTAATTACAGCGTCTGCTTCACAGTCGTGAGTAGCAATTTTGCAAGCAGCATCGGGAAAAGCAACGGTCGCAGAATTGCAAGAACAGCAACCGTAGCAATGCTCATGTTAATTGGCTATCAAAGATGCCGCATCCTTTGGCCGTGTTGCTATTCACCCGAAACCCTAAACCCTAAACCCTAAACCCTAAACCCCGGCAAGGACACTGATCTTAGTAAGCTGCAATTCAGGCTTCCAGCTAGACCTTGATAGCCCAGTGCTACCCTTTACCCATTTTTCTGGTTCCCAAAAAAATTAAAAAGAACAGATGCCTAGGGCCTTATTCATTACATAGTTGCTGGGCTACCAAGACGGTCTTCAGCACACAAAAAGGCTTGTTTCAGGAATTCGTCTCGCTGGAAATGCTTATCCTCTTCAGCCACAGCAGTAGGCAAACGTGGGAGATGCGAGCCATGGATGGCTTAGTTGAGGTGGAATCACTTACAGTCATCAACATCATCGACAATGACACCGACTTCCTCTCAACAGCTGCAAGCACCAAGGATGGCAGTGTCTTACTTAGCCAATAGTTTTTTGTGTGGTTTGGGGTTCCTTACTTAGCAGGAATAGTAAAGTTTAACTTTTTCCATGGCTGCTGGCTAAGTAAGGTGTGACTTACCAGTCGGAAGTAGCTCAACACGTGGCCCGCGGAGACAAGACCCTCAACTTCCCAGACTTCTGCTGCGCTGCTCATGGGCTGTCCCTGCTGCTCACGGCTGTCGTGGGGCAGCAGAAGAGGGCCTTACTCCTGGATGCTGGCCCGTGCCCTCAGCTCTGGAAGGACAATGCTGCGAAGTTGGGCATCGATCTCTCCTCCGTGGACAGCATCGTACTGTCACACTACCACGCGGACCACTCCGGAGGCCTGTCAGGTGCTGTGCCAGCCATCGCCGCGGCGCGGCGGGCGGCAGGCAAGGGCCCAGTTCGCGTGGACTTACACAGAAGCCGGCCTGACTCTCGCGCCATTCAGCTGCCCTCCGGCTCTGTGCTGCCGCTGCAGCCTGAGACGCCCAGCTTTGAGGATTTGCAGCGCCTGGGAGGTGAGGTCGTGCTCAGTCAAGAGCCCCACATCCTCTCCGACTGCTTCTTCGTGAGTGGAGAGATCCCACGCAGGACGAGCTACGAGAAGGGTCTGGTTGGCTCCAAGCGCTTGGAAGATAATGACTGGAGGGATGACTGTGATGTTGATGAGGAGCGCTATGTTGCCGTGAAAGTCCGGGGCAGCGGGGTCGTGGTCTTCTCCTCGTGCTCGCATGCTGGCATTGTGAACGTGTGTCGTCATGCTCTTGATCTGGCAGGTGTGCCCCTCCTGGCTGCCATGGGAGGTTTCCATCTAGGCGGTACAGGGCTTGAGGAGCGCGTGAGTGATACCGTCCAGGACCTCGTCAAGTTGCAGCCCAAAGCCATTCTACCGGGGCACTGCACAGGTTGGCGGGCCAAGACGGCGATGGCGCAAGCAATGCCTGACCAGTACATTCCAGCACTTGCAGGCGGCAGGTATGTCTTTGCTGCTGCCAAACTCTGACTCTTCTCCCATACTCGGTAGCCCCGTGGTACTCTTTTGCCCTTGTTTCGGGTTCATGGTTCCCTTATAAAGTAACCAACCCAAAAAGGGTACCCTTACTAGACTATGGTATGGATATTGTGCTTCCAAGTATAGCAGTATAGCCCCGGAGGCGACTCTTGACTCCTAAAAGAGCCTACCCAGCCCAGAGGCTGAGTCCAGTCGCTCCGTCCGCGTGACGGTAGCATGCATTGACAGCCTGGGTTTAGGGTTTATTGTATAGGGTTTAGGGTTTAGGGTTTAGGGTTTAGGGTTTAGGGTTTAGGGTTTAGGGTTTAGGGTTAGGGTTTGGACCCAGAAAACGGGCCTGATCTGCGAAGGTAGATGCCCTTTGCCAGGGGCAGGCTTGAACATATTTTGTTTAAAATGTGTATTGCCCTGACTCCCCTATGTAATCCTGATAAAGCCACCAAAATTTAGTTTCAGAGGGCGTCCAAACCTGCACCAGTTGAGGGCTGGTGCTTCGCAGATTCGCTTGCAAGCCACAAAGTGCTGCGCCAGTGTACAGGGAAACAGGAGGCACGGATCAGGGTTTAGGGTTTAGGGGGTTAGGGTTTAGGGTTTAGGGTTTAGGGTTTAGGGTTTAGGGTTTAGGGTTTAGGGATCAGTGTGCAGATGGAAGAGGTTCTAGAAGGTTTGTAAGCATACTATTGAGCTTGCTGGCCTTGTAAGTTCACAAAATCCCCACCCGACTAAACCCTAAACCCTAAACCCTAAACGCTGACTCCCAAATTCTTTGCGAGGTTCAGGGCTACGATGATGAAGCTGAACGCCTATGCCGCCGAAGTGCAGTACTGGTGCCATTCGGACAAAGACTACATTGCGTCCGGGGCCCAAGACAAAAGGGTTTAGGGTTCAGGGTTTAGGGTTTAGGTTTAGGGTTTTTTTAAGTTTAAGGTTTAGGTTCTAGCACTGGAAAACCTCTACTCGAAGCTGCTGGCCCCATAAAATCCTACCCCATCAGCTGGTCTTTAGACCCTTCAAAGCCCTGTAAACTGGGAACCCAATACATGGAGGTTCAGGGTACTTAGTAACCCAACTATAGCTGTACTTAGAACCCACTTATCAGCCCGTTAACGGCCCTAATTGGATATAATTGGGATTTAAGTACAGATAAATTGGTTAATAAGTATCATGAACCCAATAGGCCCTACCAGCCGTGGGCAGTTTGGGGTTTTAGGGCTCAGGGGTTTCCTGAGCTTATAGGCGCCAAACCCTAAACCTTGATCCTGGCTTAGGGTTTAGGGTTTAGGGTTTAGGGTTTAGGGTTTAGGGTTTAGGGTTTAGGGTTTAGGGTTTAGGGTTTAGGGTTTAGGGTTTAGGGTTAGGTTTAGGGTTTAGGGTTTAGGGTTTAGGGTTTAGGGTTTAGGGTTTAGGGTTTAGGGTTTAGGGTTTAGGGTTTAGGGTTTAGGGTTTAGGGTTTAGGTGGCTCACTTGTAAGGCTTGTCGGGAGGGTATGGTTTCTTGGGTTTAGGTTTAGGGTTTAGGGGGCAAGGAATTGGGGGCTCGTAGTTGCAGTGCCAAGACAACTGACACACACTCACACACACACTCACAACCCGCTGTTCGCGGCTTGGTATGGTTTAGGGGTCAGGGTTGGGGCTTAGGGACTATGGCAGATTGAGGATCCATATACGTCACATCTCAGGCGGGTGTTCACGTGCAAGTTGCTCTCATGGCAGGTCTTCACAGGCATTTCGCACACAGAGTTCGGGCTGGATCCTAAACTAGGGTTTAGGGTTTAGGGTTTAGGTTTAGGGTTTAGAATTAGGGTTTAGGGTTTAGGGTTTAGGGTTTAGGGTTTAGGGTTTAGGGTTTAGGGTTTAGGGTTTAGGGTTTAGGGTTTAGGGTTTAGGGTTTACGGAGAACCGGAGAACCTTAAACCCGACCCTCTGACCCCCTGGTTCTGAGTAGGGAGTGACGGAATATAGGGTTATGCATATGGTTCTTTAGGTGATTGTAGAGGGTTTAGGGTTTAGGGTTTAGGGTTTAGGGTTTAGGGTTTAGGGTTTAGGGTACCTCATTCCCTCTACGAAGAACCAGCCAGTCTAAACCCCAAACCCCGAAACCCTAAGTCCTCCGCGAGAGGTTCACGCACAACAACCTGAACGTGGACAACGCCTACTTCTGGCGGGACGAGGCTCCCTCAGCCCAAGCGAAAGGGTTAGGGTTTTAGGGTTTTGGGGTTTTAGGGTTTTAGGGTTTTAGGGTTTTTAGGGTTTTTAGGGTTTTTAGGGTTTTAGGGTTAGGGTTTTAGGGTTTTAGGGTTTTATTTTAGGGTTTTATTTTAGGGTTTTATTTTAGGGTTTTAGGGTTTTAGGGTTTTAGGGTTTTGGGGTTTTGGGGTTTTAGGGTTTTAGGGTTTTAGGGTTTTAGGGTTTTTAGGGTTTTTAGGGTTTTGGGGTTTTAGGGTTTTGGGGTTTTGGGGTTTTAGGGTTTTAGGGTTTTAGGGATTTTAGGGTTTTTAGGGTTTTTAGGGTTTTAGGGTTTTAGGGTTTAGGGTCTGGGGTTTAGGGTTTAGGATTTGGTGTTTAGGGTTTTGGCTAAGGGTTTAGGGTTTAGGGTTTTCAAGCCCGAAAGCCTCAACGGCTTAGGGGTTAGTTTTCAGGGTCTATGGGGAGAATCTGTGGCTGCTACAAAGCCTAAACTCCCACTTCCCAACTCCCCACAATGGCTATTTGCTTGTGAAGCGTTTATCAAACGCCATCAAACGGCCTAAACCCTAAACCCCAAACCCCTAAGCCCTTAAGCCCCTAAACCCTAAACTCTAAACCCTACACCCTAAACCCTAAACCCTAAACCCTAAACCCTAAACCCTAAACCCTAAACCCTAAACCCCCCAAGCCAGGCTGGCAACTTGGACCTGGGTGTCTTCGACTGGGGCAGTATGGGCTCCAAGAGTTTGGGCTTCAAGACGCTGGGCTTCAGAGAGAGCAGCCGCCTTCTTTTTAGGGTTTAGGGTTTAGGGTTCAGGGTTTAGGGTTTAGGGTTTAGGGTTTAGGGTTTAGGGTTATCTTGTAAAGCACTCGGGTTTGGGGTTGCTTAGGGCTTAGGGTGGCTTCGGGTTGCTTAGGTTGTTTTGTAAGGGTTGCTTAGGCTTGTTTGGGGTTGTTTAGGGTGTCAGGTTGTGGGTCCTGAGAGCAGCCGCCTGTTGTTTTGCTGCTCCCCAAATGCGTAGCAGAAGGGTCCCGGTTTCAAAGGTTGGGATTCCAGGCGTCTGGTAGGTGACCCAGCATCACGAGCTGCAGGTGACCCGGTATGGGTTTGGGGTTTAAGGTTTAGGGGGGTTTAGGGTTTAGGGTTTAGGGGTTAGGGGTTTAGGGGTTTAGGGGTTTAGGGTTTAGGCTTTAGGCTTTAGGCTTTATGCTTTAGGGCCTAGGGCTTAGGGTTTAGTACGTTTGCAAAGCGTTTGAGAAAGCGTCCGCACGTGTCGCGCCTTTGGGGTGCGCCATCCTTGTAACTGTCGTCACTTTTGGAGGTCCTCGTTGCTTTCGCGCATGGAAAGTGCTGACAGAGACGAGAATTAGGCACTTTAGGTGCCCCCGTCCTCGCACAGCCCTAAACCCTCCATCCCCTACGCGAAACAACGTCAACCCGAGCGTGGCTCACTGATGCTAAGGATGTGGTGGTGGCCAGGGCCTCAGCTGAGTCAGGTTTGGTGTTTAGGGTTTAGGGTTTAGGGCAAAGGGGCTGTCGGGTTGAGGGTTGTAGGGTCATAGGGCTATGGGGCTACAGGGCTGTAGGGTCAGAGTCCTGAAGGTGCAGGAGCTTCTATGGCTGGACTCTGATTTCTGGGTCTTGGTGAGCCCTCGACCCCTTTGAAAAACCCTAAACCCTAAACCCTAAGCCCTGAGCCCTGAGCCCTGAGCCCTGAGCCCTAAGCCCTAAGCCCTGAGCCCTAAGCCCTAAGCCCTAAGCCCTAACCCTTCCCAAAGAGGCCTTGGATTCAAGAATTCTGGGGCTTCAAGGGCTTTAGTGGCTTTGGGGTGTCTTGGGCTTTTCGCCCTTAACGCTCGAGGGTTTAGGGTTGAGGTTTAGGGTTTAGGGTTTAGGGATAGGGTGGGTTTGGGGCTTAAAACCCGTAAACCATTCAACCCCAAGCACCCTGACCGACAGCAAGCGCCAGGCTTTACTGCCAGGAGTTCGATGAGATGTCCCCAAACATGGACAAGTGCCCCTGCCTTTCAGGGTTCAAGCTGCGTGGTCTAGGGAACCCCTCAAACCTCAAAATCCTAAACCCTGAAACCCTAAGACCCCAAAGCCCTAAGACCCTAAACTGCAGCAGGTACCTCGACTGCTGCGTTGAGACGCTGGAGGAGTACGGCGGCCCTCGACTGGACAAGGAGGCCCCTCGAAAGCTCCGAAGGAGCTCGGGGCGTTCCTGAAACTAGCCCTTTTAGGGTGCGTGTTTAGGGTTGAGGGTTTAGGATTTAGGGAATTTAGGGTTTAGGATTTAGGGTTAGGGGTTTTAGGGCTGGCTTCGGACCCCTAGGTCCGAACAACACAAAAAAGCTCCACCACCAAAAGCAGCCCTTCAGCCTACCAAGGTGTTCTTGAGGCATTCTATCAAGAAACTAAGGGAGGGACCCTTATGAGTAACCTTAGGGGTACTGTATAGGGGGGCACTTAGGTATCTGGGATTAAGGGTCCCTGCTAGGGGCCCTCCTTTAGATCCCTTAATTTAGGTCCCCGGTCTGCCCTTCTCCCCTGCCTCGGGAATCTGCCAAAGTTATAGTCGGGCGAATCTGAGAGTTTTTTTCTAAACCCTAAACCCTAAACCCTAAACCCTAAACCCTAAACCCTAAACCCTAAACCCTAAACCCTAAACCCTAAACCCTAAACCCTAAACCCTTAACTGTCTTTGTTTAGGACCGAGAGCCTGGTCTGCCAGGTCCTGCGGATGCAATTCATTCTCACGGCTTTGTCGCAAATGTTCGGTTTGGTGGCTGCGGTCGGACAGA